GCATGCCTTTATCAAAAGTTGCTAGCAAAAAAGTGTTGCATACCATTCGTGACCTGAGATAAGCTCGGGAACATAAGGAGGGGTCATGGGTGCCATTTCCCGGTTCAGTGTGTCATGTTTACATGCATATAGGTAGTTCAGTGTTTGAAGGTGTTAAGAATGACGTTCGTCCAAAATAGGCGCCTTTCAATCTTTCCCCTTGACTTATAATGGAGAGGTCGAAAAATTGACCTAACCTTATGTGACCGATATCAAAATTTTATGATATGCCTAATTGGCTAGTGGCTACGGTAAGTGTCCTTGGAAAAGGACCGTTAGCCGTGATGAGTAGACCTTGATATCCTACCTATAAGGGGAGAGTAACATCTGTCTCAGCACATTTTTACGTGTGCCGGCAGGGGAGCGTCGAACAAACAAACAATAGCCAATCCCTCATACAACCTGTGTAAGGAAATGTTCCAAGCGATGTGTCAATTGAAATATGATTTACCTAATTCGACAAGTCGGTATATAAGTCGGTCGGTATATCAGTGGGACAAGGCTGCGGCAGGCGATTGTCCTTCACTCGACATGAAGAGACGGATATCAGTAATGTCTCCACGTGTCCCGTTAGATGCTTTGTCTCGTCTGCTGTCCCCTGTGCCGTGTCCTTAGTAATAACCCCAATCATCAGGAAAGTGAGTTCAGGTCGCGTTGCAACTGGTGCACGACATCCATTTTTGGCAGCTGATCACTTCTTTGGTGAGTGGTGATGTGGGGCACGATTGCAGACGTGATGTTGAGGAGATTTCCTGTCGCCACTGACCGGCATTACTCACAGAAGCTACCGCGCAAGGCCGGCTCTGCAGCGCTACGATTAGTCACAGACCACAGTGCACACTCGGCACACTGCCGCTCACCAGACGGAGAATGCCCATAATGTACCCGGTAATAACCGTACCCAGTGAGGCGAGGCTCACGTTACATACAAATGGATCGTACTACGCCGTGGAAAATCCACTATCATGATGCATGACTACATGCGGCTAAGCTATGGGAGATCAGAGATGCCACCTGATCTAAGATCGTAACGGTTTTCATAGGGAGCAAGTGAACCTAAAAGGGATAAATGATAAAAATGACAAAGCAGATATAAGATCACAACATATGAGTGCTCTTTATTTTAACATGTTTGTGACGAACATATCGGGCATCGGTAAAACAATGATAGCACTCGTTGAGCTAATGAAAAGACGTATCACCCAGCTACTGAAACCTATCTAACTGATGTGGAAGAGCTGAAATTTTAAACGATAGGCCATTCGTCGATGGTTGTCGGGTAAACGCTACGCTCGTCGTTATTATCAGTTTTAGCATCCTATCGTTACGTTCCCGCTGATTGAAATCGCGAATTATGCTGTCAGACAATCGCGAATTATGCTGTCAGACACCCAATATGCACATCAAATAAATAAAACACATTCCCTTGCCATCACATGTTATGCTGGTCCAACATGCCCTCCGAATCCTTCACCGCCGTCAATGCAACATGTAGGTACTATTATAGTCTACCCCAGTGGTAGACTTCCGATCAATGATAGGCGTTGGAGCGGAAAGAAATCTGATACGAGCCGTTTAGCCAAGATGCATTAACAGTCAAAAGAGCCACTCTATCAACGTCATCTTACGATATGGAGTTACAGCACCCAGTAGCGGCACTTTCATTTTCAACCTGGCGCTATGTTTGCTGCCATTCACTTGCACGATTGGTCGTTCCATGTCCTATCAGCCAGATCCTAGCACGGGCTCCGTTCCCTTTCGACGTGGCTGGCGCGGCGCGGATCCACTCCGCTGCGAGTGCTCGGCTCAGTCTGCCGTCTCCCGGTCTGCGGACAGTGCGGGACGCGCCACACTCCTGCTCCATCTCCCCGCTGCCATGCTGCTCCTGTGGGCCGCCTGGTGTCTGCTGCTGACCTCAGCACTGGCGCGGTCGCCCGCCCCCTCGCTCCACTCCAGCATCCACCTGCACGACGCGCTGGAACTGGCGTCGTCCGGCGCGCGCACCGCGCTGAAGATCCTCAGCCCGGTGTCTGGGCGCGGCTCGTCGTGCCGGCGCGACAGCCGGGTGCTGCTGGCCGGCCTCCTGCGCCGTCAGAGCTGGGCGCTCACCATGCTGGACGCCCAGCCCTCGCTGCCGGACGGGCTGCTGGCCGGCCGCTGGGCTGCGTTCGGCTCCCCAGACCAGTGCACCGGCGTGAACGTGGAGCTAGGCGCCTCTGGACTGAGCGTTCAGGGACAGTACTGCTTGGCCTACGTGCGCTGGGCCGCCCTGGAGGAGACCGCCCGGAGTGCGCGCAGTCTGAGCGCGCTGCCGCAGCTGTATGGGGTCGGCAGCGTGCCCCACATGGACGCCTTCCAGCTGGGCCGCTGCGTGCCGGCCTCCTGCTCGCCGGCCGACGTGGAGCACGGCCTGCGGGACGCGCTCGGCGCCGAGGACGTGCACGTGGACGCGAGGAACTGCCGCACCTCCGCGGCGGTGGCGCGGGAGCTGGCCGTGGGGGCCGGGGCGCCCGACTGGCGGACGCTGCCGGCGGCCGTGCTGGTCGGTCTCTGCTGTCTGGCCGTGCTCGCCGCCGTGCAGGGGTTCGCCACGGTGGTGGACGCGGTGGTGCGCACCGAGGGCAAGTCGGAGGGGCGCGCCACGCAGGCCGTGCTGGACGCGTTCTCCTGGCTGCGGCTGGTGCCGGCGCTGGGCGGACGGGCCAGCGCGCTGCCGGCCGCCGACGCCCTGGCCTGTCTGGCCTTCAACCGTCTGACGCTGGAGCTGACGCTGCTCAGCTCGCTGGTGACGCTGCCGTACACTAACGTGGCGGAGCTGCACGGCGCGCTGGCCGGCCCGCTGCGGCCACTGCTGGCCGCGCTCTCCGGATACGACGCGCTGCTGGCGGTCGGCGGTCTGACTGCCGGCTACAGCCTGCGCCGCCGGCTGACCGCCGGACGCCTGCGCGCCCTGCTGCTCGTGCTGCTGGGCCGCTACATGCGTCTGCTGGCGCTGATCGGCACCTCCCTGCTGCTGCTCGTCAGCGCGTTCACGTTCGTCAGTGACGGCCCGGCGTGGCGGCAGCTGTCGCAGGACCTGGTGGTGGGACCGTGCGCAGAGCGGAACGGGTGGTGGCCGGTGCTCGCCCTGCTCAGCAACTACTACTCACCTCTCGGACACTGCCTGGGCCACGCCTGGTTCCTGGCGGTTCAGGCGCAGCTGTGGCTGGTGTCGCCGCTGCTGGTGCTGCTCTCCGTCCGGCTGCCCCGGCTCGGCACAGCTCTGCTCGGGGTGCTCACCGCGGCAGCCATGGCCGCGCCCCCGACCATCACAGTGCTCCACAGCCTGCCGGCTCTCCCCACCACCCACGACTTACAGCTCAACCAGCGGCTGTGGAGGCTCGTGATCACGGCCACGCACGCTCGGGCCGGCCCCTGGATGCTGGGTCTGCTGACCGGGATCCTGCTGCACGCCCGCCGCGGCAGACCGTCGTTTCTGCGCGGCAACGTCCCGGTACTGGCGTGCGGCTGGACGCTGGCCGTCGGTCTGCCGGTGGCGCGCGCTGTCTGCGTGCTGCCGTTCGCCGGGCCGGCCGCGCCGCCGGCGCCGCTCTGGTTCACGGCCACCTTCTCGGCGCTGTCTGGGCCGTGCACGTCGCTCTCGGTCTGCTGGGTGGTGGCCGCCTGTCAGCTGGGCCACGGCGGGCCCCTCGGCCGCCTGGTCACCATGGCCGGGTTCCGGTGGCTGCGACGGGTCAGCGCCGCCGGCTACCTGCTGCTGGTGCCGGCGCTGCTGGCGCGCTGGCTGTCCGTGCAGCACGCGCAGCCCTGGTCGCTGGTGCTGGTGCTGAGCGCGTGGCTGCTGACGCTGCTGATGGTGCTGCCGCTGGCCGCGGTTCTGACTGTGGTGGTCGCCCAGCCGCTGACGACCGTGGGGCGGCGACTGATGTCGCGGGGTGCCCAGGAAGACCAGCCCACGCCGCCGCACACCGGCCCACAGACGTTCCTCTCCACCTCCCCACTGTCACCCTCACACCGCTCGGAGATGAGGGAGCACATCTCTCAGAAGGGCATCAGGTGTCCGAGTGGCGTCCGTCCGTCCCAGAATGCCAGAAGTCCCTCCAAAGAGGACCCCTCCACAGACATGCCGCCCGCGAGACGGTTCAGCCTGACGGCCAACCTGGTGAGCACGACTGACGAGAGCCAGCCGTCTCCGACCAGCCTCAGGCGGGCCATGTCGAACGTATCCAAACGCCAGGTCTCGCCAGCCCTGCTGCGGCGGCACCTCCGCAGGTATCGCAGCGTCCGCCTCGAAGGAGCACCCAAACGACCGGCTTCCCACGGTACCTGCCGGAGAAATCCTGCCAAAGGCTACTACACAGGACACTCGCTGGGTAAAGAGTCTGGAGACGAGGGCCGAACATCCGTCACCGGCGCCCCTCCGGAGGAACATTCCGATACCGGCGAGAAGGTTGAAGACTGGCGAAGCTCCGCGGGGACCAGGTTTCCGGTGCACCCGAGGCGCTACCTGCCCGAGCTGGTCCGAACTGACCGGGACGGGGTGTGGTTCGGGAGCAGGGCGGCGCGGGAGCATCGGCACAGGAGCGGGCACCGACCAGCGAGTCAGCACTGACCGCCCGTCGGCTGCAGGGGAGGCGGTCGGCGTATCTCTGCTGGCCGCCCTGGGGCCTGGGAGCGATGCAATGGACCCCAACAGTACCAGCACCAGCCAGATGCCGAAGACCCCGCATTAGTGTATTGTACGCATTGCGGTCTCGGTATGCACTTGTGTAAAATATCGTACATATGAAATGCCGTAAAATATGTGTGCTTAAACGGTGGATTAGTTCGCTGACTTGAACCAAATAAATGCTCATTTGAATGCTCATTCATCTGAATGCTCAGAAGATACCTACCTATCAAGGTATCTTATGCTAGATCCCGTAATCGTATGCGCTTCGAAATCACTTCTATCATTCGGCAATTCTTCAGATCTTTATTAAAGGTAATCGAAATCAAACATACATACGTATCAAGTGTGTAACGAACACGACATAACATGCGACTCAAAATACAATAGAATATAAATACATTCATATTCATAACACAGATACTCTGCTCTAAAAGCACATTTATGAAGTACAAGTGCGCAATAAATTGCAGAAGTCATGCATATCGGGACACAAATACAAACAGACTAAAATCGCAAAACTGGTTACACCTACGCAATACAGCGAATGAGATCATATAGCACAAACAAAACAGGACAACACCGCAACAATAACGATCAGAGCAGCCAATCAGTGAATATCGCTCTTAATCGTTTTCATACAAGCACAAATAAAATCAATTTGATTTGCTGAAATGGGTAAGCAAAGCTAGAAAGCTGGACCTCCCGCCCTCCTATGGCCTTATACAGAATCGAAACGTGTTGGATGTCCTTCGCGTAGGTCCTACTCATCCACATGTCTTTTTTTTTACATGATACCTTTGTTTCACCTGCTCCTTGACTTTTTTCATGCTTGACAGCACCTGAGAAAACGACGGCTCCCTTCAGCGAGCGCCGTCACGATCGCCGCACCTCGCGGCGGATCCAGTCGACGTAGTGCGGCACGCTGGTGTACAGACCCGGGAAGCGGTCACCGCCGCAGCCCATGCCCTCCAGCACCAGCCCGATCAGGTGGAAGCGGCCGTCGGGCGCGCGCTCCAGCGACAGCGGCCCGCCCGAGTCGCCCTGGCAGGCGTCCCGGGCGCCGCCCTGCTCGTCGGCCGCGCACAGCACGCTGCCGCCCCAGCCGCCCGGGAAGCGCGTGTCGTACTCGCGGGTGCGCCGGTAGAGCGCCTCGCACGGCGGCGTCGGCTGGACGGTGACCAGCGCCTCCTGCAGCACGTCCGGCTGCTGCTCCTCGAAGCCGAGCCGGCCCCAGCCGACCACGTAGCCGCTGCGGCCGGTGGGCCGGGCGTCGGCCGGCGGCAGGCAGATGGGGTGCGCGCCACCCACGCTCAGCTCCACGGGCTCGGCCAGCACCAGCAGCGCCAGGTCGGCCAGGCTGCGCCGGAACTGCGGGTGCACCACGGCGCGCGCGACGCGCCGCTCCTGGCGCGTGCTACTGGCCGCGCCGAGGTCGTGCTCGCCGAGCCGCACCACCAGCCGGCTGAGCTGCCGGGTGGCCACGCAGTGGGCGGCCGTGAGCACGTGGCGCGGCCCGAGCAGCACGCCGCCGCAGAGCCAGCGCGGCCGCTCGGAGCCGGCCGACAGCTCGCCCAGCAGCGCCGCCCACGGCCAGCTGGAGCGGTCGGCCGGCCGGCCGCCAGAGATGTTGGGCACCGCGCGGCCCTCCAGGCCGGCCGGGCCGCCCAGGCCGCAGTTGGACGGCAGGGCGGCAGACTCCGGTTCGGCAGAGGTGGGGAACGTCAGCTTCATGGGACGGGTCGGCCGTTTCTCGCAGCAGAGTTTGATCTGCAGCTGCTGGAAGCCGCAGGCTCGCCGGCTGGGCGGTCCGTGCGAGGCGGGGCAGTCGGCCGGCAGCACGCAGTCGCCGGGCCGGCCGCTGGGCGCCGTGCACGCCGTCGGGCCCGGAAAGAGGATCGGCCGTGCGATGAAGCCGGCCGCCGGGGCCAGCAGACAGCCGAGCGCTGCCGCCACGAACAGCGCCGCCATGTCAGCACGGTGTAGTCGGGTACTGCTGCGAACCGGCGCGGCCACTCGACACGACCTCTCGCGGCGCCGGCCGGGGACACACTGATCTGATCTGACCATCCGTCGTCTCGTGCCGTTTATAAACGCGCCGCGATGCCACCCACGGCCGTCGGCCGTAACTGGACGGTGACTCACCGCCGCACGCTAGCACGGGGCGCCGGAGTACGGTAATCGTGGTGCAAGTTGCAACAGCGCGTGGCATTGACCACCGTGCTGGTGGGGGACGGCGGCGTGACTAACACGTCGATATATCTAAAAGGAATTGTGACGGCACCAGGCGTTATAGGCTACATGAATGAGTTTGGTTATTATAGCTTTTCAACGGAAAGTTCATGCATGCAGCGAATAAAGTGTAAGTAGTTGAAACACGAGTAGCGCAGATCCTTGAACGGTCAATGCGTAGGGGAGAGTGGGGTAATTTGGCCGGTGGTGTAAATTGGCCGCCCCCACCTGTACGAAAGCTGATAAAAGTGAATGAAATAACTTTAGTCTCTATTCATTTGTCGTTGGCAGAACTAACTCGAGAACAAATGTCAAAACTTTCCCCCTCTTAGTTTTATTCAAAATTAATAAAAAGTGAATTTCGTTGGAAAATGGTAACTTTTACTTCCGTTTAAGAATTTGTTTAACACGTAGTATTTGGGTTGTAAACGAATTCCAACATTATAGCGCCATTTTTGAGGGTGTTCAGCGGTTCCAAGAGCAATTTCATCTAGTTCTGTACAGCCATGACGACTTTATAGACAAAAAATTTCAGAATGGCAATGTGGGGTTATTTGGCCGGGACTAGCGGGGCAACTTGGCCGGTGCGCTCAGAGTCACTATGCTGGGACAGTCGAGTTGGCATGGTCAATTATACCATAAAGGACATAATTCATGACCAACTTTGACTACCTTGATGCCATATTTCCTATTGGACAGCTGTAAGGGCATGTGACGTCATCAAAGGTTACCTAACGCCTTTTTGCTAATAAATACTTACAGAAAAAGATACAGCCGCGCAAATGGTATCATTGTGTTCAGCTCGTCAAGACGCATCGAATGATATACATGATGACCTTGAACTCACGAAACCTTGAGGTCAAGCAACCTGAGGTAACGTGACCTGAAGCCAACCTTTGACCTTGACCTCTCGAGGTCAACACATACATGTTTCGATGCGGAATGACGAGAGAATTACGATGGTACTTTAAGTTTTGGCCTAGCTTGATTACTTCAAAAGCTATTCGTAAAAAACTGTCATCGCATCTAGAGCCGTTATTTTGACTATTTTCGACCCCTGTGACGGCTGAGTCAACCTCCAAAATGCTTCAAATGCGTCGTAGGACACGCGTCATTGCTGAATGTGAAGCTGACTCGCCTATAACAAAAATCATGGCCTCAAACTAACACCGGCCAAATTGCCCCACACCCCCGGCCAAATAACCCTGCTAGTGGGGCAATTTGGCCGCTTTGCAGGCCTTTGTAATACGTCACAATTTCAATATAAATAGTTACTCTATCATTTCAAGTTTACTGTCCAGTAAAGTAAAATGTATGCCACACCTGTCAGCGTTGAGAAAATGCAGAAATGTGCTGTCAATTTTTAGTTACATCGTTTTCTAAAAAAAGCGGCCAAATTACCCCACTCTCCCCTACTATACACCACTACACTGGGGGAAACCCAATGACATGGCTGGTGCTAGGTGACCAAGAAGTGTCACATCGATGCTAGTGGATAGTTGAAACTCTGAAAGCATCGTTTCTGTATGATTCTCTAAACATTGTGGTTAATTAATTTTGAAGGTAAAATGAGCTCCCTCAAAAAAGATATGTCTCAAACTGAAAAACTCAAAAAGGCCATATGAAAAGGCCATATGAAAAGGTGACCTGCGGCCAAGTGTCACCGTCACGGATCTATATCATTGAGCAGCCCATGTTCAGCCCGTCTCAGTATAGGCGGTGTCACGGTAGAGGGCCGTTGTTGAGATTTGACTGACAACTAGGTCATCATGATGTCTTTGACTACTGGTGCGGTTAGAACGGCTTATCGGTGAGGTTAGCAGTTAGTAAGGGAATGTAAAGGAATCATTGCCATTAGTTTCATCACTCAGAAAATGTTGCCCTAGACTCTTGTCGACGTTGATGTGCGACACGATGCCCATTTTATCCTTGTGTATCGGCAGTCCCGACGTGCGCTCCTCCGGCCTCCCCGGCGCGCTCTTCCCTCGGGAGAGTCTGTCGGTGTGCGCCGTTGGACGGCCGGCAGAGTCGGACCCGTCGGCCGCCGGAGACCCAGGCCCTGTGAGCCGAGCCACGGCCAGCTCGGCGACCAGCACGAGCAGCGCCAGCGCAGCGCCGGCGGCGAGCAGCATCAGCGGGCCGCGCACGTTGGCGACGGTCAGCGGACGCACCACGCCGCCGGCGTGACACGACGGCAGGCGGCGGGCGCAGGCGCGCGCGCGCACACGCAGACCCAGGTGCCGCGCCTGCTCCTCGAAGCGTCCGTCCGATATGAGGCCGCTGGCCATCATGCGCGCCACGCTGAGCGAGCGGTGCGGCACCAGCGGGTGGTGGCGCGACCACAGCCGAACCAGCAGCATGTGGCCCAGCAGCTCACTGCCGAAGTTGAAGTCGTCAAACAGGACCGAACCGTCCGACCGACGCATCACCTCCACGGAAAACTCGAGCATGGTGCGCTTCTCCAGGGTGAAGGCGAACTGCTCCTGCAGAAGTGCCTGGGGCATGTCCACTCTGTTGGTGTCCACCCGTATTGTGCGCGCCAGCTCGCGGACATGCGGGCTTGGCGAGTGTGAATAGATGAGCTTCAGGTGGCGGATTTCGGTGAGCAGCCGGTAATCCTGCTCGAGCAGGTCCTTGGCGGTGCGGGGCGGCTGGAACAGCGGCACCGTCAGCGCCTTGATGAGGTCGCTGAGGTAGGCGGTGGTGAGGACGAGCGACATCACCACCCAGACTGCCACCAGCGGCCGGTGGCGGGGCGGCAGCTGGCCGGCGCCCAGCGGCACACTCTGGCCCAGCAGCAGCGCCAGCGCCATGAGCGCGCCGCGGCCCAGCGCGCCCCGGCGCGGCGCGCCCGCCAGCAGCGCGGCCACCAGCAGCGTGCAGCCGGCGATGGCCGCCCACGTGTCGGCCGAGAACAGGCGCACCAGCTGAGCGCTGGACAGCTGCGGCGGCCGGCGCGCCGTCATGAACATGAACGACACCAGCCGGTGGCCGTCCACGATCGACACCGGCTGAGCGAACATATTAAGCGTGAGGCCCTGGTAGGGCCAGGTGCGGTCGGCGCCGCCGGCCGCCAGCAGGCCGATGGCGCGACTGGCCCCCTCCGAGGTGCGGTCACGGCGCTTCAGCGGAGGAAACTGGGCCGCGTCCACAAACTCCAGTGTGACGTTGTACATGCGCGGCATGGCCAGCACCTCGAGGTCCAGCTGGATCTCGCGGTACATCGGCATCAGCGTCTCCAGCACCACCTCACTGCACGTGCGGTTGTTGGTCGGGGACCTGCGGCAGTCGTAGCGGTCCGCGGTGTACTTGACGAAGGCCACGCGCAGTGGCGTGCCGTCTGTGATGATCCTGCCGTCGGACTGGACTCCCGTGCGGCGGTCGGTGATATGCAGCCCTCCCGAGGAGTTCCAGGCGCCGATCTCGCGCACCGCCCGCAGTGCGAACGTCCTGCGGAACAGGCGGCCGGAGCGCTCGGCTCGGCCCGGCGGAAGGCCGTCCAGCTGGAGACAGAGCGCGTCCGGCAGCCGGTCCAGCTCTGGCCGCAGCAGGGCGGCGCGACAGTCCAGCCGGCCGAGCAGCACCGCCGGCCGTGGCGACCAGTGCGGCAGCGGCCGCGCGCCCGGCCAGTACTCGCAGCCGGCGCCCTGCAGCAGCGCGCGCGGCAGCATCGGCCGCTCACAGAGCAGCTCGGCGCGGAACGGACCCTGGCAGCGGCGGCAGGTGCGGACGGTGACCGGCCCGTTCAGCCGCTCGGACACGGAGCCGGGCAGCCCCGGCGGCAGGTCCCCGCACACGGTCAGTCCCAGGCCGTCTCCGTCGGGCAGCAGGCGCTCCAGCTGCATCTGCCGCAGCACCGCCAGCTGGACGTCCAGCGGCAGCGCGTCTTCAGCGACACTGTCCGAGGCGTTGTCCCTCAGAGCACCGGGCTCCGTCTGCATGGCGGCAGAACCGGCCACGGACGCTGCCACCGCACATAAAGCGCCAAAGGCGAGGCGGAGCATGCTGGCATGTGCAAGCTCGCGGAGGACGACGTTCATGGCGCAAACGTTACCAGATCCCTCGCATAGGTCAGCAATACTACAATGCTTCCCGAGGCAGCACGACTGCCGTGGCGCCCCGAGAGCTGCGACTCTGCGGTCCGCCCCGAGACCAAGTCGGTCTAGAAGTGCCGAGGAATTGATGCTCTCTGCGCTCAAACACTGGGCATTTTGGCCTGCCACTGGGCGGAGCCAACCCTTAATTGGCTGTTTAAGTCAGCAAATTATTTCATGAGCTTATGGATGATTGGTGGCTTCGATTAGATAGCGGAGCCAGTTAAATCGTTTAGCAATGACTTCCGGTTTCAGACTGAACAATAAATGGTTCAGGGTTGAGGCATGCATCAATCACAGAAAACGGAAATATTTTTTGGATTAACTCCCTGCAATAACTCAACAATGAAGCTGTTCACTAGTCCATGAGGCAGCGCTCTTATAAATATATTTCCCCATCGAATTTGAAATCATTACCCAATAAAAATATGTAGACATTGAGCCATTCACGGTACCGTTCATCATAAATTCGCCGTCTTATCATAATTGAGAAGTAGGTAATAACTTAGTGGCCAGACCTTCATGCCTTTACGTAAATCTAGGCCTTAAGGCCTTCATGTAAATCCCCAGTTTAAAGTCAATCACTACACGTGCATCGACATAACTTCATTGAAGGTTATACCCAGATGCCAAGGACATGCATTTATGGCAATCTTGGTTTCATACGTCATATCGTGAGTCTTCCTCCAGCGGAAGCATAGTGAGTAGTT